TTTTGGGTTTAGAATGATGTCTTTTTTTGCATGAAAGAACGTTTAACATACTCTTAAATTGGCGAGACTCATTGACATTTTAGCATAAATACATTTATATTGTGGCTGCTCCAACTCGGTCGGCCTTGACCGTCAAATTTTGTGACTAGAAATACTACGGTAGTCGACCTCAGAGAATAACTTTATGTTATTGAGATTTTAGTGAATATTAGTAATTACATTTAATCCGTCTCTAGTTGCGATTATTCCAAGATTTTTAGCAATATTTGAAACGTTAATAAAGCAGCTGATCTCAGCTTAACAGCAACAGTTGAATGTTTTCCTACCCAATAGTTTTAGTGGAATGGGAAATGACCGCTAAACCCTTTATTTTTTGCATTCAAAAGTCTTCAGCCGGGCATTATTTGGGATTACAAAGAAAAGGCCTTACAGCTGATTTTTTTCTGTGTCAACAATTTCGGCTGAGTCGGGACCCACTGCACAATATGACGTTCGAAATATTGCTAAAAATCCTAGGATAATCGCAACCAGACAGAAGCTTATTCTGTGGTGGCCCCAATTCGGTCTGGCAGGCAAATTTTTTGAGTATATTGTTGGGAAATTATTAATTTATCATGTTGGTCTATATATATATAATTAATTTTGTATAAAGAATATCTTAAAATTAAGTCCGTTTAAATGATTTAATAAAAAATTAGAGTCATTGGGCTTTGGCATCTAATAAAGTGTGAGCCTGAATTTGTATGGAGGTTAGATTCCTTTAGAATTGTATTTTATGACGGGTAGAATACATATCAAAATTATATATAGGGTTACGGTTCTCAATTCATATATAAATTTCATTTTATGTGTCATCCCATCAATATAAGAATAAAAAGAGAAAATATATTGAAGAGGAAGATCCAAAACCTACAATCAAGGTCAATAATTAAGAAGAATGTATTGAAACAATCAAGATTATAGAGTAAGAAGCCAAAGTCAAGAACAAGAATTTAGGAATCAAAAGAGGCAATATTTAAGATTAAAGATTAAGAAACCAAATGTGAAAAGATTGCCATTGATCTCCAAAATTCAAGATACGGAATCAAGATCCATTAATAAAAAATCATTCCCAATATGTTAAGTAGTTATATTTCTCACTTAGTAATACTTTTTAATTATTTGGCTAGAGGATCTTGGCAATATAGTAATTAGGTTTCCAAGTTCTTGAGATTAAATGTTCTATAAAATACTAACAAGTGGTATCAGAAACAATAAAATGTTAAACCATGAGATTTTTTAGAGTTGAATTCTGTACTTTGGATTTTTAAATTTTGGGATATGAATTTCAATCCCTAAATTTCAAAAATTTTGGATTTTGTTTTTGGAATTTTCAGAACAACAGAATTGTTGCAGCGCTACAACATTGCGTTTCGACTAGGAATAGCGTAAATAGCGTGGCAAAGCCATAGAGTTGCACCAGGTGCTACAGTGCCCGATCGCTACTTGGGGTATCCAGGTAGTGTCACATTGCCCAGTTTTAGGCCCTGCAACTCTAATTTACTGTACATATTAAATTTTATTTTTTAAAAACAAAAGAAAAAAATTAAATTAAATTTAAACATAAGGGGCAATCAAATTCAAATTTTGGTACTATTTTTTTTTTTTTTTGAATTGCTAATTTCTAAAATAGATTAGTTGAAACAACAAAGTAACATCTTTTGGTTAAATTAATTTATTTGGAACATTCTGATAATTGTATTTATGTAATTAATGCAGGTATTGACTGGTCCAAAATAAAGTAAATATTTGGTTTAATTGTATGTATACCATTGATATTAAATATGCGACAATTATAAAGTTTTTCATTATGTGAACATTAAGTCGGTCCAAAGATAGACTTGATGTTGGACAAGATTTATTGTCAATATTTGATTATTACACTAAGAGCACCACTTGCAAGTTGATATTTTTGTCCAAATATTAAATATCAATATTATATCATCTCTTGAGATAGGCCTGCCATTATTTGAAATTGTTAATTATCTAATATGAATTCTCATGTGAACATATTATTTTGATTTACATTCTCTATTTAGTTAATTCATCAACTTGTACAATATCTATCAGTATTAATTCAGTTTCTTTGCTTGATGAAACTAAATTTTAAGGACTATAAAGAGAATGGTACTTTAAAAAGTGGAATCGTTCAACTTGCACGAATCTTATGATCATGAAGCGTGAAATTTCAGTAACATTCATGGGCACCGTGTTCAATAAAGTAACTACTGCCAAGAAATTTCTAAAAAAAATGAAGAACGCTTTGCAAAAGGCGACAAGCCCAAAATTAGTACGCTTCTAACGAACTTGAATTCATTAAAGTATAAGGCCAAAGAAAATATAAGGGAATACATCATGGATATGTCACACCTTGCTTCAAACCTAGAGGCGTTAAAATTTAGTAGGAGAAAACATATTAGTCTAGTATTGTATATTGATGACATACTACTTGCCTGCAATGATATAGGTTTATTGTACGAAATCAAGAGATTTTTATCATGACATCTTGAAATGAAAATTTTTGGTGACGTATCTTTTGTATTTGGGATACAAATACACCAAGATCGTTCTTGGGTATTTTTGAATTATTACAATAGAGTTATATCGATAATGTTCTTGAAAGATTTGAGATATAGGAATGTAAATCAGGTGATATCCCTATTATTAAGGGAGATAAGTTTAGTCTCAATTAATACCCTAAGAATAAGTTTAAAGAAAAAGAAATACAAAAAATTTCATTTGCTTTAGCAATTGTAGTTTAATGTATGCTTAGATTTGCACACATTCGAATATAACATTCATTGTTGGAATGTTGGGCAGATACTTAAGTAACTCTAGATTGGATATATGGAAAGTAGTCAAGCAGGTTATTTGGTATCTATATAGAACTAAGGATTATATGATCATATACAGAAACCAGACCAATAAGATATCACCAGATATTTTGATTTTAATAATGGAATATAACTGCGAAATTTTGTCACCAGGCTGCACAATTTGTATGGAGTTGAAAGACCACTTAAGTCATTCCATAACAATAAGAGTCTTATATTCCAACAGAAGCTCGATAATGTCAAAGTTTATAGACATTTAGTTCCTAGTTGTTAAGGAAAGAATCCAAAGTTTTCAGGCTTCTATAGAGCGTATTGTGACAAACTTAAAAATTATGAATTTGCTTGCTAAAGTACGACAACCTGAGGTCTTTCATGTGCATACTATTTAGCCCTGGTTTAAGTCACATTCTTTTGAAAAAATACATTCTTAAATAATATTTTCATATCATTTCAACTCACATTTTTTAGTAAAATAATATTACACGTAAATTTAAAACTTTTCCATATTTTTTAACTACACATTTTCCATCAATACACTATTTAAAAATGCATTCATATGGAAAGAATGTGGCTCAAACAAGGACTTATATTAGTATTGCAACTTTTGATGATATGATAGTTTAGGGAGAGTTTGTATTTGGATGTTGTCTGATTTAGATACATAATTTTTATCCATAAATATTCATTTTATTTCATAAATAAAGTATTCAATTTGGTTTCACTTTGATTAAAATTTTTGTTTTGATCTCATTAAAAAATAATGTAGGACCAATTGGAAATAGACATGTTTGGGTCACATTACATGTAATTTTCATGCTACACATCTATTCTTGATATATGTCATTTGATTGTGTTGATATACGTAACCATTTATGAGTTTAGCTATATTATTTATAACGAAGATCACTTTGATCCCATATTGATATAATTAATGGATGATATTGTTTGGAGATATTTTTGATTATGATAGCAAAAGTTTTGAGCTCGTAATGCTCACATTTATAAGGTAATTTATGTGGTCCAAGTGAGAGATTGTTGAAAAATTATTAATTTTTCATGTGGACCTACCTATGTAATTAATTGTATATAAATACTATCTTAAAGTTAAGCTCATTTAAAGTGATCTAATGAAAAACAAACTCATTGAGCTTTGGTCATCTAAATAAAATGTGGGCCTAAATATGTGTAGAGGTCTGATTCCTTTAAAATTATATTTTATGATGGGCAAAATACATATGAAAAACTATATATAGAGTTATGATTCTTACTTCATATGTGATTCTAATTTTGTGCTTCATACAATCAACACAAGAATAACAAGAGAGAATATATTGAAGGGGAAAATCCAAAGCCCACAATCAAGAAGAAAGTATTGAAACAGTCAAGATTATGGAACAAGAAGCCAAAGTCAAGAACAAGAAACCAAGAACTAAAAGAGGCAATATTCAAGATTAAAGGTTACGAAACCAAGTATAAAGAGATTGCAATTGATCTCCAAGATTCAAAATTTGGAATCAAGATCAAGTAATAAAGAATCATTCTCAACGAATTAAGTTATGTTCTGCATTTAATAATTCTCTTGATAATTTGACTCGAGGATCTTAAGAATAAGATAATTAGATTTTCAAGTTTTGGAGATTTAAAGTTTTGTAAAATACTAACAAATGTAACTTCAAGTTGTCGAGACTTTAGTTAATATTAGTAGCTACATAAGGTGAAGAGTGGTGAAGAGTTGCTTACACAAAAAGTAACTAAGGTTAAGATGGAATACAAATCCGCAGTATCTTTCGGCTCACCCGTTTATTGGGCTGTTGAATGGAAATTGAGACCTATATAGGATATGATTGGGACTCACATTGGAAAGGTATTTTCTATACTATTGGGTCAAAAGCCCTTTCCTTTTTCAGCAAACTTGATATACAAATTAATAACTCTTTATTGCACTTCTCCAACTTTATATGCTAAACTTTTCAATTGTCTTAATAGTTAATATCATTTACTTATGAATATATTATTGCAAACCATCGATTTGATTGCATTCTCTCCATTTTCATCGACAATCCTCATTGTTGTTGCATTACCATGATGTGATCTAAAACAACAATAATAAAGGAAAAAAAGGCTAGTTACTATTTATTTATGGACATGAATACCTAATTTTATTCAATTTTATTGAGCAGTCCAGTGCGACTGTCTACCTCACTACACAAGCCAAACGGACGTGAATCTAATCCAAAGTGAAATCTAAATCACAAAATTCATCAAAACCCTCCATGTCAAAGCATTTCATTTTTGGAGACCAAACCATTAAGGGGTCCAAAGATTTCATGTCATACCATAAGCTTGAATCTGGTGATGATTTTGTATCAGACATATCACTCCGTGCTATGTCTTCTTTAATTTCAAAGGGAATGTTAGGTCCTCCACCCACTTGGGAAATTTTTTCTTCAAAACAATGTATATTAGAATCAGGAAGATCTGTATCTATAATTATTTGTGGGGCCCTCAGTTTATCTCTGCACGTGTGGTGGCCAAAGTATGTTGTTCGATACAAAATGGGTTGTTCTTTGGTTTTTTGAACTTGCTTTGTAGCCTTGCAACCTTGATTCTTGTGGGTGCACCTAAAGTAGCTTCTGTAAACCACAAATAATGAAAATTGAGTTATTTAATTATATTTTTTTTTGTGAAACGTGCTACGTCATGAGTAAGTCTGGACTCACCTTTTCTTTAGAGACCATGTATGTTAAATATTCATAAATGAATCAAGTTGAATCACATTATCTACCCATGTATTAATATTTACCTAGGATATTTTGCATCGAGAATGATTTTCTGTCCATATTTTCTCCATGCACAGCCATCTTCCTTCGCAGGAGAACTTGTTGTCCATAAGTCACTGGTCTTTCTGCAAATTCAATCAAACAATCTTATTAATATATATAATAATTAATTTAATTTTCTTCCCTATGAAAATGAGGTCGAATTCAAATAAATAAAAAGAAATTGGATTAACGCTGGAGAAATTGTTGTCCATGAGTCACTGGTCTTTCTGCAAATTCAATCAAACAATCTTATTAATATATATAATAATTAATTTAATTTTCTTCCCTATGAAAATGAGGTCGAATTCAAATAAATAAAAAGAAATTGGATTAACGCTGGAGAAATTGTTGTCCATGAGTCACTGGTCTTTCTGCAAATTCAATCAAACAATCTTATTAAAATATAATAATTAATTTAATTTTTTTCCCTATGAAAATGAGGTCGAATTCAAATAAATAAAAAGAAATTGAATTTAATCCAAAATCCTGGATTTCGGACGCTTTAAAATAGGTTCGATGATAACTAGTTTCATTTAGGTTACCCTAATAGTATGGCAAGAATCTACATTGAATGGTGATTTTTATGGGATATTTGGTTAAAAAGTAGAAAAAAATTTTGAATTTACGTGTACAATATTTTATTGTATAAATTTATTGTTAAAAATAAGTGTATAAAAAAAAGGAGTTTGAAAATAATGACCACCAAAGAGGACCAAATGAAAATTCCATAGTTGGTCCTGATAGATAGCCCTAGAAGCAAGTTGCTAGGTATTTATCACCCTAGTAGCAAGTTAGTTCAAGCAACTCTCTTCATTTATGCAAAATGCCATGACTTACTTATCTCGGAGGAGACAAATACTTGATCTTATGATAGCCCTCACACATGGAATTGGTTGGTAGGCTATAGTTGGTTCAAAGCTTGAGCTACCTTTAATTAAGTTGAAGTCAGGTAATCATTGTATTAAAAAAAATTAAAATTTATAGATGGACATTATACATTATTGAATAAAGCACACACTGTCTTTTTATAGGTAACAAGGAGTATGGTATCACCATTCTTGTCTTGCTGAGTTCGAACAATCTTGCTATAGTGATAGGCTTAACGACAGACTCAACGATAAGGGGACGCATATCGATACATGATTAGACAGTTTGAAAAAAAAATACAACACTCAATCTTGCCCTGCTACCCCACCCTGTCATCCCTTCCCTGTCGAAAGGAGGAATCAAGGAATTCTCATATAGACAACAATCATCACATTAAAGAAAAATGGAAGTTGATCATCAGCCTTTCATTGTAGTGTGCAATTTTTACGGCATGCATTTATGGCATGCCGTGAAAGAAGACTATTTACGACATGCACTATATATATGCCGTAAAAATTAATAACTTGACGTATTTACGGCGTGCATTTGTGTACGTTGTAAAATGTGAATATTTACGGCGTTCTTTTAGGACATGCCGTGTTTGTTAAAAAATTAAATTTATTACGGCGTGCATATGCACGTCGTAAATACATTGACTTATTATGGCGTACATATACATGCCGTAAATACCTTCTATATTCCCCCTTTTTAATTTCCCTAGTTTTATTCGGCACTTCCATCAGACGACTTCTTCTTCCTGCGTTCGACCTACTACTTTACGCGCCGTTCTCTCCCACCTTACCACCCTTCAATTGGCCGTCAACCATTCAATCGGCCGTGAGCCCACTAATATACTTGTTTGAATGTTGCCCCAACTAAATTCCAAAATCCCTCTTCCTCCCTCCCTTCCTCTTATCTCATTTTTATCCCAAATCCCGTTCGGATTTCTTCAACCCCATCACTAGCCGTATGTTGGCCGGTCTCTGCTAGTATGGCAACTTCCCGCTGGCTGCCCGAGCCGACATGAATGATGTGCTCGTGGCCCTCGCGCGCGAGGCTAGGTGGATCGTTGATGCTGACGGCACTACCTACAGACAATCCTCGCAGCCTCTTCCTCCTTCCGCTAATCTTACTAGTATTAATCATTACAATAATAATACTTCCAATCTAGTGAGTATATTTGGAACTAGAAAAGAACAAGGATTTTTTAGCTGGTTTTGTTTATTTCTAGGTTTATATAGCCTTTGAATTGTGTTGCGTTAGTTTGTAGTTGGGTAAATGACAATTTTTAGACCTTTTTGTGCTATGGTAAACGTAAGAACAAGAATTACGGAATTATGGATGTGTGGGTCGTTGTTTATTATGATCTTTGCCATTTTCGTTCTATCAGTTTAAATTTTGAATATCTATGATATGACTACCTTGCAGGAGATGGATCTTCCTATCTAGTTAGTAATTGAAGAGAGGAGAGTAGAAGAATTTATTATTGTATCTTCATTATTGCCTTACTGTAGTTTGAAGGTTGGAAAGTTCTTAAATGTTTTCCTTTTTTGCTATGAATGTTCAAACTAAAATTATCCACTTAATCAAATATAGATTTTATGGTTTACACTTGCTAAATTAATTGCATTTTTTTGCTTCAGTTACCTAATGATAAGCTTCCCTGAGAGCTTTAGAAGATGGAACAAAATCAAAGAATTTTTGTTGGGGATTGCAAGTTATCAATTTAGTGTGCATTTGCGTCAATACCCAGTGAACATTATTGACTCTAGCAGTGTTTTAATGAATTCAAAACCAATAAGAGCTGAGGCATGTCCAGGGTACCTGCTCCAGAAAGACTAGAGGGTGAAAGTGTTGGGTATGTGGTCCAAATTTCTTGCATCTCTTCCTAATTCTCCCCATTTCTTGCATACACATGGTCCAAATTTTATCCCTCTTTTGGAAGAGTTTACGACCCCAACAAAGTATACTTTTCAGTTTGGCACCTAATATTATGAGTCCATAAGACATGTAGAATGTATATTAGGAAAGAAGAGAGGAAACAGATGCGATTTCTCTTACATTGTTAACAGAGATCATTAGGGGATCAATGTTAATTTTCTAGGAATTTCTTTATGCTGATAAGAACACGAACACTATTGTCTCAAAGGGTGTTCAAGGAGCTAAAATTGATTATCAAGAACCCGCAGATTTAGAGCTTACGATGGATATTGTTACCAACCTTCAGAAGGTTCATTTTACATTTTCTTGATCTTTTCAGTGACCTTTCCTTTAGTTAGCATTTATACAATTTTTCTCTCTCATAAATGCAGCAGGAAAGAAGACAAAAAAAATAGCAAGAAGTCGTAATTGCATAGTGAAGAAGTTTCAAAGGCACCAAGAATGATTTTTTTCCTGAAGTGGTATATACTTTTTGAGAAGAATTGAAATGAATTGTGCATTGATATATTGTATTAAATTGTACTCAATATTTATGGAATCTATGAAAAATCTGGTTATATTTATGGAATTTTGTTTTGTAATTACTATTGGTAATCAAATAAATAAACAATTTTTTTTAAAAAAAATAAAATTTATGGCGTGCATTTTGCACGCCGTAAAAAAAAATACGTTACCTTTATGGCGTGCACATGCACACCATTAAAAAAACTCACATTTTACGACATGCGCAAGCACGCCGTAAAAGGTTTTAACGGCGTTCACAGACGGCATGCATTGCAAGCCATAAAAAGTAAATACTTTTTACGGCATTGGTTTATACGGCATGCGGCCGCACACCGTAAATTGGTTTTTACGGCATGCAATGCCCACCGTAAAAAGTACATTGTTGTAGTGATAGTGTGGAATGATAGAACGTAGAATATTTATAGAATTGTTAATAACTATTTAAGAATATGTTTTATTTCTTTCAATTGAAATGCATATAATTGCATATCTCGAAAATAGAATTGTATTAAACAAGTGAGTTGATATAGATTAATTGTAGGTTAATGGATTTCTTGCTCAACATGTCCTTCAAAGCTTTAAAAGGCCAAAAAATAATTAAATTGATATTTAAAACATAAAAACGAAACTTTAATTATGAGTTACAAAAGATCTTCATACATTTACTGTGTTCACCAAAATGTAAAACTTTACAAAGAAAAATTTATCAAACAAGCACTTGTAGAAAATTATGGTCCTGTTTGGCAGTGAATTTTCACCCCAAAAAATTGATTTTTTTTATCGTTATTTTACTATTTCAATCATTATTTTTGACTTCTTAACTCATAGATGGCCCCCACGTTTCTCTCTAATGATAAAAAAATCAATTCTCATAATTACTACCGAACAAGCACTAAATATATACCTCAAATTGGATCACAGATCTTTAAAACATGAAAATTTACTTGATTATTTCACAAATTTTATTGTGGAAAAAGTACAGCACATAGTCAACCAAATACTGTGCTTTAGATCTTATCTTGTCCAGCTTATTAGTTTTGTTTTGTTTGGTGAGAATATAATGGCTTACATATCACCAATTAAATTCGAGTCACAGTACAAAAGTAGCTTTTTTAGGACAACAAAAACATATGAGGTGTTAAAATCCGATATATAATGATAATTGTGACTTTTTAATAATTCATTATGACTATTACTTTCTTCTTTCGCATGTGATATTCAAGAAATTTCTTTAATTTTCTATTCAGACGCTACATCAAAATAACTTTTATGGTGATGTTATTTATCGAGACAAATATTAGCAATCTATATAGTATTGGATTCACTGTCATATTGTTCAATAAAAAAAAATGAATTACAACTTCAATGAACAATGACTCTGATTTTGCTATTATATGGACTGATGATGAACATCATCTTAGAAGAATAATCTATTCTAACTTTTATGATGATGAAAAAATGACATGACTTTAGAATTTGTGATATAATGGTGAACGCATTTTTTAGTAATCTATGACAGTTATGGTAACATGTTCTTCAATCCCAAATGGTCCACCTTAGTTATTTGATAATAACAAATCTGTCAAGAACGCCATTTTAATTATTGGTGCCTACACAGAATTTTCTTTGTAATCTTTCAGTTTTTACTCATCCATTAATATTGATTGTTGAGTTGGTATATATACACATTTCTCCCTTAATTTATGGGCTCATAATTATTTTAAAGGAATAGAATTTTAGAAGATGACGCTTTTATAGGAAAATTATCGGATAATATCGTTGATGTAATCGCGTGTAGGAAAAAAATAAAAATTTCAAGATCGATTGTATACACGAGTTTAGATAGGTATCAAAGGAAAAGAATGAGAAATACAGCGCAAAGTTTAATATTAATAAGAGGTTAAAAATCATTAAATTGAGTTTAAACGACCGAATAGTAAAAATAAAAACATGTTCATAAAAAAAATGGAATTCAAAGAAATTGAATTATTTAGTTGCGGGGAGGACGACATGAAGTAATATACGTAATATTCCTATTGTTTAAATAAAAAGTGCATCTAGGACTGCCAACGGAATGGATTTGGAGTGGAGAACTCGTCCCTCCCATTTTCCTGTTCCATCCCCGTTTAAGCATAAATGGGACTAGACGAAGACGATACCAATTCTCTTTTAATCCTCACCATATTCAACTCTAGAAATTTCATTTCTTAATTTACACCTTCCCAAATCGACCCTAAATTCCTAATTCTTAATGCTATTTATCCTACTGTTGTTGTTATCATAAAATTCCTCTTAATAAAAAACTTCAAAAATAATTCATATAGAAATTTATACATAGGCATTTGAACAATGCTTGGTGTACACTAAGTTACACAGTCCCCTCTCATGTGAGGGGCTGCACATTTGTACAAATGGAATTTTCCTAAACATTTAGCCCTAGAAATGAGCAGCTACGCCGTGAGATGGTTACCACGCTTTATATCTCTACGCAATTGCACCCTTAGCCTCTCCTCCTATATAGAAGAAGGACTTTTGTTAGTGATGTCAACGAACTCGAGGCTCAGCGTCGACTCATGTAAAATTAAGATGGGCTTTTTTGGCTAGAGTCGAGCTGAGAAAAAACTAGGTAAAAAATTTGAGGTTCGACTTGACCTGACTCGAGCCGAGCTGGTTCATTTTTTTGTTTTTTTAAAAGGCAGCTCTACTGCCTTTTCTTTAATGAGCCGGCCCATCGAGTGACGGGCGAACCGGGCCAACTCAGACTTTTTTCAGCCCGAGCTAGCGAACCGAATTGCAATCCCTAACTTTTGTGGCGGTGGCACTGAAAATGAGATCTTCAACTTCAACACCAAACCCAAACCCCAGACCGTACCCTGAATGATTCCACTTCAGAATCCAAATCCTCAAACCTTCCTTTATTTGCTTATCCCAAGAATGGTGTTTTTAATTCTCGCAACTTCACTCTTTCTATATGTTTCTATTCAGCTACAAGCTTGGATCCCACACCAAATGTTTTGAATACAGAGCGTTTGATTGTTGTTGTGTCCTTCTACAAGTTTGCGCATTTTTCAAACTATGCTAATTTTAGGCAACCCCTAAATAGCTTTGTGAGTAGCTAGGAGTGTATAATTGATGATGTGTGGGATGCAATTCTCAGTGTGTGTGTGGCAGTTGGGAGCAGTTGGGAGATGAGCCAGTAGCATAGGCACAGTTTATCTAACAAATGAAATTTAAAGACTATCAACATTTATGTATAGAGCAAATAGATAGGGCCGTCTAATTATTTTTTCATGTG